TGTGTGTGCGTGTGTGTGTGTGTGTGTGTGTGCGGTGTGTGTGTGTGTGCGGTGTGTGTGTGTGCATCCCATCAGGTCCAGTGAGCCTATCATCCTTTAGCCCCATTAGTTTCTCTAGTGCTTTTTCTGTAGTGCTAGATTATTGCATTTGTTTCACCTCTCTATCTTCTAAACTCCAATATGTACAAGCCCGACCTACTTGACGTTTCCTCATAAGCAAGCCCTTCCATACACAGAATCAACCTAGTATACCTTTCTCTAGACTATCTGCAATACCATGATATCTTTCCTTAGTTAAAGGTACCATAACTGTTTATGGAATTCCAGGTGTTGTCTGACTTATGCGTTGTGTGGTTTTAGCAAGACTTCCACATTTTAATACTCCATTCCCTTTGAAGTAAGGACCATCATTCCATTTGCCTTCCCTAATGCCCACTGAACTTGTAAACTAGCTTTTTGTGATTTATGCACAAGGACACCCAAAACTCACTGTACTGCAGCTTTCTGCAGTGTTTCTCCATTTAAATAATATTCAGCTAATCTTCTTATGTCCAAAATGCTTCATCTCACATCTTCTCACATTATAGTCCACCTGCCCAGTTTTTGCCCATTAGTCTAACCTGTCTATATCTTTCTATAGATTTCTTGTGTCATCCTCATCATTTGCCTTCCTAACTGTTTTTGTGTTCCTATTTTTGGGTTGTCCACAAACCTGGCTATAGAACATTAACTTTTCTCATCCAAATTATTAATATCTGGGAAATTACTACAAATGCAACCGTTATCTCTGCTGTTAATTCCTTACATATCCTAGGATGCATCCCATCAGGTCCAGGGAGCCTATAGTTTCACTAGTGCTTTTTCTCTAGTGCTAGAATATTGCGTTTGTTTCTATTTATTTATTATTATTAAATTTATTACTAGAATGACTGGAAGTTTTTGTCCACATTAGTCACAGTAAGAAGGGAGTGGTGATCCTTCTTTAACTACTGCTTGAAGCTGGTTGATGCAACAGTGTGGTTTACTCAACCACTTCAAGGAGCAGTGACTGCTCAGCGTGTTATGTGTGGGACTAAGGTCATGAAAGATTTCCTACCTTAAAGAACATTAGTAAATCGGCTGCATTTCTTTCTATATCGGCAAAGTGTCATTTTACTCTTTAGCAGCAAACTATACCCCAGTTCTTTTTGAAACATGAAATGAAATTTGAAAACTGGGTGGGACCAGTGGATGGGGAGATGTTTAGACTAGTTCCCATTCCTTACTGCCCACGCCAAACCCCATGAACCTGCTGACTCCTTCTTTAGGATATCGGGTCAGAGATACCTTTGGCAGTTTAGCTGTTGGCCTCAAGTGTCTGCAGGCTACTCAGCTACAGAGTGCATCATGGAAGATGTCCATGTGTTTTGCAATAAGATAGCAATGGCCAGAACTGGATTGCATTTATAAGCAGGAACCGGGGCTGAACTATTGTGTTCCTTTCTTAACCAAGGTTTGGAAAGGCCAGTTGTAGGAGTCGAGGCTAAACTGCCATCCTAGCAACGTAGGAACTTAGTAACAAGAGTAGACCATTCAGCTCCTCAAGCTCGTTCCACCATTCAATGAGATCATGCTGATCTACAGCCTAACACTATATGCCTCCTTTTGGCCCATATCCCTTTGCTTAACAAAAATTTATCTATCTCACATTTAAAATTAACTGATCGAACATTCACTGCTGTTTGTGCAAGAGAGTTCCAAATATCTACCATCGTTTGTGTGCAGAAGTGCTTCTTAACATCCTTCCTGAATGGTCTGACCCTAATTCTCAGAATAGTATCCCCCCGTTCTAGAATCCCCAACCAGTGGAAATCATGTATATTTATCTACCCTACTTTTCCTGTTAATATGTTGAAGACTTTTATCAAATCACTCCTTAACCATCTAAATTCTAGAGAAAGTCAGCCTAATTCGTATAATATTTCTTCATAACTTAACCCCTAAAGTCCAGGTATCATTCTTGTAAATATACGTTGTATTCTGTCCAAGGCCAATATATCCTTCCTAAGCTGTGGTGCCCAGGTTTGCTGTCAGTTCTCCAAGTAGGGTCTAACCAGGGTTTTGTAAAAGTGCAGCATAGCCTCTGCCTTCTTATACTCCAGACTTCCAGATATAAAAGCAAGCATTCCATTAGCTTTCTTGATTATTATCTACAGTTGTTCATACAATTTAAAGATCTTTGCACCTGAACCCAGGTCTTTTTGGGTATCCACAACACTTAACTTCATAACATCTAGAAAATACCCTGATCTATCCTTTTTGTCTAAAATGATCAGTCTCACATTTGCTTACATTGTACACCATCTGCAACGCTGTTTTGCCTGTTCACTTGGTCTATCAATACTCCTTTGTAATTTTATGCTATCGTCTACACTGTCTACAATGCCGACTAACTTTGTGTCATCAGTAAATTTGGATATATGACTTCTGTACCATTATCCAAGTCGTTAATAAGCAGTGTGACTAGTTGAGCCCCTAACAGAGATCCTTGTCGGATGCCACTGGTCATATCCTGCCAATGTGAGTACCCACTTCTGGCTGGTATCAGCCAACTACTAAATTGTCAAAGCCTGATTGCACTGTACATGACAGTGAATCTTTCCGTGGAAAGTGCCGCCCTCTGATCAGTGATCCAGTGGGAGGCCACTTGCTCTCTAGGCTTTGCAGAATAAGCAACTACTCTTGCTCACTTTTCCTTTAATTAAAATGATCAATTCTCTTGCTAAAATTGCTTTGTCATTTTGTTTCTGCAGAAAGGCTGGGAACCTGGAACACAATGTATGGCTAAGGGTGACCACAAATCCACAAAGGAAGATGAGCTATCATTTCACAAGGGAGATATCCTGACAATTATTAAGGCTGTCAACGTGAGTATGTAGTTTCTAGAGTTCTTGTATTACCTCCTTATATCTTGTTTCCTATTTGGGAGGATGCTTCTTAGGATGTGAAGAGTTGACTTGCCACTTTACCATCTGGGGAATCATATGAATGGATCTATCAGTTTCACATTTTGTCCTTTTGAAGAAAATCATTCTTTAAGTATCTTTAAGTATACTGCTCGTTCATCAATGGTTTACAAGTTCTCTGTCTCCCCTACCCCTTCTTCACACAGAACGTATTTCAAATATCCCGAACAACTCTTCCCCTGCATGCATCCTGCATATAATATTCCAAAATTCCCTGGATCAAGGAAAGGTTCCAGTGGATTGGAAAAATGCTGATATAACACCTTTATTCACACATCCTGACTAACTCATCCCATACACACATTCTAATCAACTCTCCACTGCACAGATCCTGTTTGCTATGCTAAGTTCATTTCCATATGGCAAGCATAGGGGCATGCAGAGAGGAGAAAACTGAGTGGAATTGAAGAATTTGGAGCTTCGGAGGAATGAGTGAAAAGTTGAGGAGGAGCTTGAGGGATGGGTGAGAGGGAAAGATGCGATAGAATGGAAGGGAAGGAAGGATAATAATATTTACATTATTATATATCTTTTTCTATTGTAAACAGAACAAAGGTTGGTATAGAGCAAAAAATAATAAGACAGAAGAGGAAGGTCTGATATCCAGAAATTACCTACGTGAGCGTGAGGCCATTCGAGTTGATCCTAACCTCAGTCTGATGCCGTAAGTACCTTTTCCAATTGTTAAAATGCATTTGGAGGGATTTGGCCGACAGAAACTCTCTTGCTGTTATTCTTCCATTAGTACCGCGGAATGGCGAACAGTGCCTCAGGTTTTCATCTCATCCAAAAGATTATATCTCCACCAGTGTCAATACGGAAATGTCAGTTTAGGTTATTAGGTCAGGTTTTGTATTGGGAATCAAACATGTGATTTCTGACTCAGAGGCATGACTGCTACAACTGAGCTGGGCTGGCAACCATAAATAACATTGATGGAACGCATGTAAATGAGGCCTTACCTCAAACAATGATCAAGTTTCACTTTAATTAAATTGAACTGGCTCATTAGACAACTCTACTATCTCCCAGACCCCACTGATACACATTGGAAATTAAAATAGTTTCCCAATATTGAACGCATGTGCTCTCCCTGTTTGGATATACCTTATTTAAGCCCAGACCAAAATAATTTTTGGTAGATATCTGGCATGACTAAGGGTTAAGAGGAGGTTTATTCCTGGAGTTTCACCACCTGAAAATATCCTTCTTCTGGTTTATTCACACCAGGTAGCATTGAGAGCAATGACCCACATAATGTTACCTTGAAATTAGAGGAAAGAATCTCAGTTGACATCGATGCGGTTCTGAGGCCTGCAGACCAGAAATGTCCTAGGCTTGGTCCCCAGACTGAGATCAATAATCTCAGACAAGTTCATGGGCAAGATTTTACTTCAGAACCTATCCACTCTTGCTTTGTTAAAATCAGGCCCTAATGGCTTTAGACAGTACCATCAGCATCAGTGATCCATGATGACAGAAGAAATACATCAGTTCCTGCTAAATTGTCAGTGGGGTAGGTCTTGACTTTGAGATAATTGAAATAAATGAATGTAATTAAGAATTGAAAGTGATTAAAGTAATTTGCAAATGTATTATCTCCCATTTTGCCATTATCACAAAGTCAACTTTGACCTCAAGGCCTTCTCCTGTCAAAGGCCCCCATGGTTATCAGAGTTTGGGCTTAAACACAAACATGGACATTTGAGTGAGGTTGTTCCAAGCCATCAACCTGATGGAACATTCCTGAGCCTATGGCTTCAGGAGAAGTGAGCAAAATAAAGCCCAATAAAAAATATATGCATGGGTACGAGGTTGGGAAGATTCGGGGTTTTGAAACATTATTTCCTTTACAGGCTTCAGGCAGGGAGAGAGAGTTAAATCTGTTGCCTGAGGAGAGGAAATGCCATGGGAATACCTTGAGTATCTTGCTAATATTTGTTCTTACTTCACTCTTGGTGAGATGGTTCCACGGGAAGATCAGTGGAGAAGATGCAGTGAGGGTGCTCCAGCCCAATGAAGATGGTCTGTTCCTGGTACGAGAATCCATTCGACATCCTGGTGACTATGTGCTGTGTGTCAGCTCAAAAGAGGAAGTCAGTCACTATCGTGTCATTTACAAAGACAACAAACTAACGATCGATGAAGAAAACTATTTTTTCAACCTTATTGAACTTATTGAGGTCAGTAACCCAATATCTGTTTGTCCCAACCTTCTGTACTGCATGCTGTATGGTCATAAAAGGCAGGCTGACTGAGATCAATGGGTGCAAAAATCATTCTGACATGTGACGGACACAATTCCACAAGTACCCTCCAGGACTTTTCCCAATAGACCTGCTTCATAAATTAGACTAGTCTGAGCAGAGAATCTTTGCAGGCTAACCAGTAAGGGAAATCATTACAGTCCAGGCTCATCCTGCCATCACCTCAAGTGTGAATTTTCCAACTGGGACCTATGTTTGACAATGAGGAATAGGATCACAGGTTGACTTCCCCAGTCTAATCCTGAGATGATGGGATGAGCTGTGATAACCTTTATTCCAACCCAGTTGAGACTAGCTGGTTAACACTAGACATTAAATCTAGGACTTGTGTAATCAACAGACATCAGTGCCAGCCTTCCAAATCACCAGAACTACAGGGAAACGCCCAACAATATTTTTTCAACAAACATCAACAGATTTTAGCTTGTGAAACTCTTGGACTGGAAATATTTAAGGGGTGGATTTCCTTGGAATATTTCATGAAATGTCTACTGAAGTTGCCGTGATGGAGAAGGAGAAGACCGTTGTCACCGAGGAGTGTTCTGATTTCCTCCTTCTTCCTCGTGATGCTGCAGTTTGAGTATCAGAACCAATTAACCCTTTATTCCTTTTCCCAAAATGTTGAGCTCCTTCAAATGGAGGAGTGACACGATTATTCTTGTTTCACACAACCAGCCTGTCAGACTTCCGTTTGCACTCCTGCCATAACCAGTCTTGAATGATATTGGTCAACTAAGCAACTATCTAGAGGAGAAGCTCCACAGATATCTCCCATCCTGAATGATGGAGTCCAGCACATCAGTGTATAAGACAAGGTTAGGGCATTTGCAACAATGTTATGCCACAAGTGGCAAAGTGGATTATCTGGTCTCAGTCTTCTTCAGAGTGCCTCAGTGTCAGATGTCAAGTCTTCAGCCAATTTGATTCATTCCACATGATATCAAGAAATGGTTGAGGGCACCGGATACTGCAAAGGCTCCAGCAATACAGGCGTTCCCGATTTACAAACATTACTAACACTTGTTCTTATGAACCTTGTCCCATATAGGGGTTCAATTTTAAATATCCAACAGTGAACATTTCTTGGACTTACAAACAACTGCTTTATATTGTTCTTCATCATGTTCCGAGTTGGGTACAAATCAATTTTGAAACGGACTCAGGAATGGAATTCATCCAGAACCTGCGGACTGTCCATAGTACTTAGGACTTGTGGTTTAGAACAAACTGAGCCTCTAGCCAAGTTGTTCCTGGACAGCTACAACAATAGAACCTACCCAATAATGTGGACAACTGCCTAGGTATGTCCTTTCCATGAAAAGCAGGATAAATCTATTCCAGCCAATTACCATCCATCAATTTTGTCTGTTTATTTAGCAAATGCACATCTGTGAAAACAAATATGGCCTCCTCATTTGCTAAGTTTAAGCTGATTTTTCTACCACTTATTATGAATTCCTCAGGATTATATAACACTGCTTGTGTCCCTTCACAAATGTTTCGGGGTTTGTATTAAGGGGGAGGCAATGGCCTACTGGTATTATCACTAGAGTATTAATCCAGAAACTCAGCTCATGTTCTGGTGACCTGGGTTCAAATCCCATCATGGCAGACAGTGAAATTTGAATTCTGGAATTAAGGGTGTAACGATAACCACGTAACCATTGTTGATTGTTGGAAAAAAATCCCATCTTATTTATTAATATCCTTTAGGGAAAGAAATCTGTCGTCCTTACCTGGTCTGACCTACATGTAACTCCAGACCCACAGCAATGTGATTGGCTCTTAACTGCCCTCTGGGCAGTTAGGGATGGGCAATAAATACTAGTGTAGCCATAGACTCGAACATCCTGTGAGTCAAAAGTTGTAAGATAAGCCTAGTGGTGGAGGTTGGCTACACAAGGCCCTGTCCAGTCCTAAATCTGTTTAGTGAGGACCACTTTTGCCATGGTTTGTTCATTTTGTCAGTTGGTGGATGTGTGAGGGAATGATGTTTGTGAGGACAGGAGTAGCCCACTGTCAATGCCCTGCAGGTCACCATTGACCAGAAACTGAACTGGACTAACCGTATTTAAAGAAAGCTGCTCAGAGTAATAGTCATAGAGTTATAGCATCACACAGCATGGAAACAGACTCTTCGGTCCAACTCGTCCACTCTGACCAGACGTCCAAATCTCCAAATCTGACCTAGTCCCATCTGCCAGCATATAGCCCATTCCCCTCTAAACCCTTCCTATTCATATACCCATCCAGGTTACCTTTTAAATGCTGTAATTGTACCCATCTCCACCACCTCTTCTGGCAGCTCATTCCATATATGCACTGGCACAAGTCAGGAATGTGATGGAATACTCTCCAGTGATGAGTACAGCTCCAACAACTCTTAATAAGCTAAGCACCATCCAGGAGAAAGCAGCAAACTGATGTCGACCCCATACACCACCTTAAACATTCATCCCCTCCACCACTGAAGCAGTGGGTGCCATCAACAGGATGCACTGCAGCAACGCATCAAGTCTTCCTTTTTGACAGCTCTTTCCAAACCCATGACTTCTACCAGCTAGAAGGACAAGGAGAGCACTTGCATGGGAGCACCACCACCTGCACGTTCACTTCTAAGTCACATGCCATCCTGACTTGAAATTATGTTGCTATTCCTTCACTGTTGCTGGGCCAAAAACCTAGAACTCCCTTCCTAACAGCGCTATAAGTGATTCAAGAAGCTGACTTACCACTGACTTTCTCAGAGGCAATTAAGCATTGGCAACAATTGCTGGCTCAGCCAGCAATGCCTACATGGTGTGAAAGAATTGAGAAAAGGAAGACTTGATACATGCTAAGTTCCAAGCAATGGTATGAAAGCACAACAGTCTTGCCATTACACCCTGTGTGTAACCATGATCTCCACAATGGTATGTCACTGTGCCCGCATACTCTCATCAGTCAATATAACATGCTATCTCTGTCTCGGGGAATCCCTTCTTATACTCTTTCTGCACAACATGCACTATGAAGAACAATTGAACCCAATTACAATTGCTGTTATTTGAATGGTCCAGTTACAAAAGATGTAATTTAACCTCCTACAAAGCCAGGTCAATCTTTCAAAATCACCGTAATATTCCTACCTGCTCAAAAATATCCCAATGCTATTGTCTGGCCAAATAGTGGCCTTTAACACCCAGTAATCTTGTCTTCTCCCTAGCTGCGTGTCGGCCTCGGACAGAAACTATTGGCTTTGGTACTGCTTCCAGCTCAGACCCCTAGCCCTGCCCTCAGACCCTGGCCCCCTACCTGAGCACACAGTGGGGGCCCTAGGGCCATAGTTCCTGGTTATTGGACCCTGATGTTCCCACTGTACCAAACCCAGGTGCCTGCAAGGTCTTCTACTTTCTAGTGACCACAGTAAGCACTCTGCTAGATTCCTGCTGATGTCTGGTTTTTACCTACTTGGCCCCATTTACACATTGGTCAATTAAGAATCAAAATACAGTTTCACATTATATCACCTCTCAACCATCTGTACCCAGAGCATATCAAAGGTACAATAAGTTTGGTATAAGAATTATCATTTAATAACTAATCTGATTCCAAGTTTATAATTGTTGTACTTCAGTAAGTTACTTTTGTAAACTGCCTCAAAACCCTGGGATTTTTTTTACACAGTAATGATCTGTGTCTAAACTAGGGTTTCCAAATTTAGGGATGGTATTCTCTAGCCTACCTTTTGTGTTGCTTCATTGTAGAGCACCTGTGCTTTGTTCGCGACAAACGACAACACCTTCCAGTCACGAACCACTTCAACTCCCCCTCCCACTCACTGGGTGACGTGTCCATCCTGGGCCTCCTCCAGTGTCACAATGACACCACCTGCAAACTGGAGGAGCAGCACCTCATATTCCACCTTGGGAACCTACAACCCAACGGTCTCAATGTGGACTTTATCAGTTTCAAAATCTCCCCACCCCCAGCCTTATCCCATGACCACCCTCCCTCTCATCCATGCCTCCTTGACCTGACACAACCTGTCCATCTTCTCTTCCACCTATCCGCTCGTCCCACCTCACTGACCAATCCCCACCACTGCCTACCTGCACTCACCTATCACCATCCCACCTACCTTCCCCAGCCCCACCCCTCGTCTCTCTATTTATTTTGGAGCTCCCTTCCCCCTCCCCCATTTCTGAAGAAGGATCCCGACTCGAAATGTCAACTCTCCCGCTTCTCTGATGCTGCCTGGCCTGCTGTGTTCCTCCGGCTCCACTCTGTGTTATCTCAGACTCCAGCATTGGCAGTTCTTACTATCTCTGAGTAGTGAGTCTTGATTTCAACACTGTGTGCAGGGTGGAGAAAGAATCATACAATATAGTTTGAGCTTTAGACAAACAATTCAGGAAACTTCATAGAGGCAAACAGCATGGTAATGTCTATAAGAGAGACGAACAGAAAGTGGTGTAGTGAAGAGAGTGATTGAAGGCTAGAGATTAAAGAAGGATCATGTACCGGAAAATGGCCTTTACCTTGTACTGTTTCTGGGAATGAGAGAAATGGTTGAAAATCCTCCTCAAATATGAGATTAATGTTCACATTTTGAACAGAATGGGACTTAACAGAGTATTAAGAGCTCTCGAAGGTGAAATAAACCTGACATGAGAGAGGAGCTGAGCCTTGTGGATCCAAGTGTTTGGAAAAACCCACGTTTTGGTAAAACTGAATTCAGAATGTGTTGAATTGTTGCAATTCTATAAGGTGTTGCCCAGATAATTTACAGACAGAGTAATATTGAGATTGGACAACAGCAACAAAATGAAAATCATGAAAATGTTTACTGGGGCAGCTGATTCAATGAAGCATTCAATATGCTGTCACCTAAAATCAAATTTAAGCCACACTTATTGTTTAAATACATGAAGCAG